GACTCTGCTCTGTGATTGGACTGTCACTGTCCAATCAGATTCTGATGTGATTCACACTAAACCTCAGTACTTTCTGTCTGTACACAGATGTTCACAAACACGCACACTGCTATTTGTACCATAAAATTGCCATTCATTTGATTAACAGGCAGGAATGAGCTACACTGGTTAAGACTGGTGTAAAACTGTGTGCCACCACTAAAGGGCAGCCTTACTGTGTGCTGAGGAGAATGAACAGAAAAAAAGAAAAATTACAAGACATGTTTTAGGCAAAACTGAGGCTTATTCCCACCATTTATTTTTTTAAATAAAATATAAAACCACAAATATTTAGTATGAATAAAGAGGCGTTTCAAATAAATACTGTACAGAGATAAATGTAAGAATTTACAGTTTTCAGCTGCTTTGGCAAGTCTAGCAACACAACTTATCACAAGTTGTCAAATGTAGTTCATATCTAAGGAATCAGAACCAAGCGATGTATCCGGCCCATTATTTTTAGTCAACATAGGATAGTACTGAATGTTAGGAGCAGTTTACTTTTCCTGACACTCACACAAAAATACTATTTAAAAGTTGCTGCAAGTCATCTTACAACAAACCATACACCTGCATCATTCTCATCCAGTGCTGTCTGCATTCTCATGGCGATTTTGCATTTATTATTTTTCCTGCTCCACCACAGGTTGATTCTCCAACTAATGATGAACACAGCACAAGATGAATTGCAGAAAAATGGGCAGTAATTCAAGATGTGTACAATTTTCAACTTCCACACAGTGACTGAGTTTCTGTCTTCCTGCTCGAAACCTTCTGAAAGATGGAATCAGCTGCTCACCATAGTGCATCATCATGTGTGTCACCTCCTTCCCAATGCCCTTGCCTCTGTAACTGGGCACTGAAGAAAACAAGGGGAATATAGTGTCCAGATATAAAGAGATATACACAGGAAATGATTGAGATGTACAAACCACAGCACAGGCTGACTGTAAATATTTGCTCAGCCTTAGATTTTGAATCAATTTTAAGATAAGCACACTGGGCATCACCTGCTATCATGGTCTCCAGCTCAGCCGAGGAGAGGTCCGTTGGTTCTGTCAGGAACATGCTGACATCTCCCACCATGCACTGCTCCTCTTCTATACTGGGATCTGCCCATCGCTGCTTATCCAAAATGATGAGTGTGTACTCTGGCAAAAAATAAAACAATCAAATTAAACAGCTTTTCTTTAAATAAAAGTTGAATGATTTTACTACTGCATGACCTCAGAAAGATTGATGTCTTATTTTCACATCATATTCGATGGTTAGTGGTTATTTATAAACACTTCAACCTAACAAATCTGATGGATGATGGTACGAATGTCTAGAATGATTTGGAAACCATAAGGACAGAACCTGAAAGCGGTGTTGACCTCATAAAGCAAATGTCACTGAATCATATTTCACTTTATCTTATCATAAACTGTATTAAATAAGCTTCTGTTATTTGGACAATGTGTTAGCTTATTTATGTAGGTATTGTAAAAATTCTGTGTTAAAAACTTGTTACTCTAACTTAGAATAAGTTAACAAAAGTAAAAGAAGTTATCTCACACTTATCTTTCCAGCCACTGCTGTATGATCGGTTCAGCCAAAGATTTTTCTCTCCTTGTTTTATTTAGGTAGTTTTCAGAGAAATAAAGGTGTCCAGTTATTCATTCATTCATTCATTTTCTACCGCTTAGTCCCTGAACGGGGTCACGGGGGGGCCGGAGCCAATCCCGGCCGGCAATCGGGCGAAGGCGGGGTACACCCTGGACAGGACGCCAATCCATCGCAGGGTGTCCAGTTATTCACATAAAAAAAATCTAAGGCTAAAGACTTTGTCTGGCAAGCCTCCAGATTTATAACAACTGCTTTAGAGAATAAATAAGAGCATGTTCTGTGTGTACATTTACTGCAGAAGAAGTCTTACTGTCATCATCTTCCCTCCAGCTCACCTGTAATGTTTAGTAGTAATTGTGAGATCCAGAAATCAGGATCTTGTAATAGGCTAGAATTTATTGGTTGCTATTCAAGAAGACATTCATCCCATAGTCACATGAGACTGAGATTGCACAGGGATCTAAATCACACTCAAACGATTCATCGTGCCCTGACAGTGAATAGAACAATGTGGTTCTTATTTCCATTGTAGGTTTAGGCTTAAGCTGGGGTCAGACAAGACACATAGAGCACTATGGGTAAACACTTGATTCTTTATTCTTAAAATTTAATTGAAAAACAGTCACTGTTTGCCATCATATCACATAATTAGTTGTGAATCTGTCATCACATTTATAATGCAATACTCCTCACGCCAGGTATAGCTACACTAATATGGGTGTAATCAGTTAGAATACCAGCACTTTGGGATTTAAGATGCTGATAGATGATATTTTAAAGAGTAATTACACATTATTCTGGGTGGAGGAAGCTTACTGTGGCTGAACTGGCCTCTGTCGGCTGAAAGGCTCTGACATGATCTGAGCTCTAGCAGTGTTGCACTACGTCTCTGCTGCAGAGGGTCTGGTAAAGCACGTTATCCCCACTAGTTGGCAGTGGTGGGAGAAGTACTCAATAAAAGTGAAAATCCTACATCCAAAATATTATTTAATGTATTTGAAGTACCAACAGTACCAGTACTGTAATATATTTGAAGTACCAACAGTAACAGTACTTGTCCTGCAGAATGGCCCGTGTCCCACTAATGTCTCTGATACTAGTGGATCATAGTGACTGATGCATTACTGTGTTCATTGCCTTAATGCTGCAGCTGGTAAAGGTGGAGCTGATGTTAACAACCTTATATACTTATACTGTGAAGTACGTTACATCCTGCTGGGTAGCTGGTGGATTTCCCACCGGGATCAGTAGAGTCTGATGGTTCTACTGTGTTTGGTTTGATTCATCTGATTCTGGAAAGGAACTGAAGTTATAAAATATATGCAATGCAGTAGAAAGTACTCCAAAATGTACTCAAGTCCAAGTATGAATACATGAAAATTAGACTTAAGTAAATGTACTGAGTTACTCTGCACCACTGCTAGTTTGTGGGGCAGGCCAGATTATTAAACTGCCATCAGGTGGTTGCTACAGTACACGTTCTGTGTTATTTCTACAAAACAGATTTTGTAGACTACAATTCTACAAGCCCAGTCTTTGGACCCGACCTGAAACAGATTGCAGACCTGATCTGTGGAGGGACACATGGCAACAGCCTGACCAAACATGAATAGGCCCAAGGATCATTAGAGTACAGAAAGAGTTCTACAATAAGGAGGAGGAGGAGGAGGAGGAGGAGCAGGTCCTAAAAACAAATGTAAAGAGTCATACAAACTGAAATAACATATAAACATGCTCCAACAACAAATATATGTTAATAACTGAAAATCTTATTTCCACCTCCTGCACCCACAATAAATCATTCTGTAGATATAGAAAATGTTCAGTTTAATATCTGTGAAGATAAAATACTGTCATAATAATACTTAAAATAAGTTCAGGTCTGTTGTCTGAGCAAAGCTGAACTTCACAGATCTCTGGCCTCAAAACAAAACGGACACCACGTACACTAGGGTTCATTCATACCCACTCAGGTATCGGACATGCGTACTGACACACAGACCCAAGACCTGATCCGATTCGACTTGGCAGAATAACTAACCACCACATCCAGCTATGACCATATCTGATGTTAACACACTTGAACCTTTCAGCCCACAGAGGTGAAATTTTAAAGAAAGGCCAACAACCAGTGTGACTCTGATTGCTGTTCTCTCCGCCCTCATCTTAAACATGGCAGAAGACAATGCAATCGGTGTTTTCACATATTAATCATATTCTCCTATAATCATAGTTTATTGAAAATGTTGTTTTAAGAAGATCTTACAAAATGTTATTATTACAGTATTAGTCAAACATGAATCAGTGGAATCTAAGAGCCAGTACAAGTACCCGCAAGCCTGCTTAATATTACACAATGAAAGATTTCCTGTAAGTATACAATTACTGGAAAATACAGTACTATGACTAGTGTGCTTATCAGTTTTGAGAACATCGCTCAGAACAGACGTCCTTCACAGAGTGTTCTCTGCATGTTCCCACCTCCTTCGTCTTGCCGTCACATCTGACTTGCCATACTTATTATTATCCACCTCGGTTCCGACAAACACCAAACAGACTTGTGTTTTCTTGCAGCATGTAACAGCATTCTGTGCCACACTGACAGGTTTTTGACAACCATACAGTATGCTTGTGCTTTAGGAAGGCAGTATTAACAGGTGAGGTTAAAAGGTCAAACACTTGATGAGATGCACGGCTGAGCGGCATTAAAGTTCTTTTACTGACAAGGCAGCAAGAGGACAGTGGATGTACAGAAACTTGTTCAAGTGACTTCACAGACTGCTTACATTCGTCTCTGGGTAAGGCTACGACGTGAGAGGCCATGAACCAAGAGGGCCACACAGGTGAACATCTGTTCGTATTCTTACTACAGCTCAGTGGTAAACTATCAAGAGCAAAGCTTGATTTTATATTTTTTATTCTGCTGTGCTTTCCAGGCTAGAAGATCAAATACTGTATAAGTCAGCTCTAGCTGTTATTTAGATACAGAGATTACTGTGAATGCAAATTGTTATAGTGCAGCTAATTTGCTGCTCATCTTTAATTCTTATTCTTAGCAGCATTGTGGTTAAAATCTAGCTGAATCATCACTTTACAGCTGAGGAGGGACGATACAATTATGCGCCAGAGAGCAGCAGCATACAGCTTGTTTAAATTGAGGAAGAGCTCAATAGTCCCCTGGGGTAGTCGAGGCCTTCTCCAAAGAGTCATAGTAAGCTTCTTCAAGCTGGTCGCCCTGGACTTCATCCCCAGCATCAGACAGAGGTGGCTTGGCCAGGGCCACCACAGCCGGCTTGTTAGGAGGCTCACTGCTGGAAAAGTCAACGAAAAAAGTCAAACATTTAGCTTGTTTTTAATTTGATAAAATGTAATGCACATTGTGCATAAAACTGTAAACATTATAATCTCAAATGCACCACAGAATGGAGCTGAAAAAAGTCAAAAAGTAAATAAAAGTGATGAGAGAGAAAGGGGAAAACGAGGAAGGAGGGAAAGTTGAGCATGATGCTGAAACATGCAACTTTTGCTGGAGTGCCACTGATGAGGTCAATGTGCAAATCACAAACAAAAACAAAATGCAAATATTAACTATACAGTGAAGGAAATAACCCAGAAGTCACTCCACAACACCTGAAGCCAACAAGATGAGGTTTTCAGAAAAAGTTTGCATGAAGACCCCAAGGTCAGTCACTTACACTGGGGTTTGGTCAGTCAAAAGCAGGCATAATCAGGCCCTGTACTGAAAGGCAGAGACATTCCCCATGTGTCAGCACTCAGCTTCTCAAATACCAAGTGACATATTAGATTATTGTATAGACAACTATCAGCAAGCTGTCAGTGGGATTCATGGTGCAAACATTAAACCATGACTAAGACAACTGGAAGCCTCCATTTAAAACTGAAAGACAATGCTATCTGTTGTTCGCTCTGCTCCTCCACTTTCTTACAGATGAAATCTAACTTTGTGACCAGAGATCAGAAATTAATATGGACATTTCCTCAAGTATAATTTTGGTGCTAGAGCGTCTAATTTCTCGCCCAGATCATTCGTCTGACAGCAGAAACAACCGGTTACAACTGAGAGAAAACGCCTTTAGAGCCTTTATCTGTCTTGTTTGGTTAGATGATGTATTTCAGAGGGCATCTAAAGAGTTTTAGGAAAAGAATAGAGCCCTTCAACTGATCCAAGTAGTAAAATCTCTATAACTGGAGATACAATGGTTTCCATGTGACAGCTACAATATAACGTACAGATATCCTAAATGTCTTAGTTTATAGATCAACACAAGTCGTATAACACTGCAGAAAAAGACGCTTCTTTGCATTTTACTGCTTTTACTCATGTACGTTTACCTATGTTCGGATGCTGGAGTAAAACATCTGCATGCTTCCTTCACCACTGACAGTGATGAACATCCAGCATGCAGCGTTAAGGCCTGTGGAGGCTGCCAGTCAGCTCAGTGATCTTGTTCATGGAAATTACTGCACTAACTTAATGATATTAAAATGCTACACGGATATATTTGTAGACCACAAACAGATCAGTGCCTTAAAAACTCACAACATGTAAACTATGATCCAGACATACACAGGAATACAGAATAAAAGTGGCAGGCACACACAGGTATATAGACCACAACCCAGCGAACCACAAGAGAAACACTGGGACTGTAACGTGATGATGCTGAGACAGACAAACACTGTTGAGTTGAAAAAGGTACCTTTGCTAGCAGCAGGAGGAGCAGGCCAGTGGGTGGATGGCAGTGGCAGGTCAGGGCGGGAAGGATGTAGTGGAAATACTACTGTGCACTGAACACACACACACACACACACACACACACACACTGTACTGAACATGCAACAAAGCCAGTGGGAGGTTATGACAGGAACCGTCCCAGACCCAGAAATGTTGACATGAGAAGTGATGTCAAATGTGCAGGAGGAGCCGGTTAATGCGTGAAAGCACGAGGACGATGGCCAGTTTGTTAGCGCTGAGAAACAATCGCACGTTGTTCTTTTAGGATGAACAAGCAACCTAAACTAAACCTTTACAGAGAATCATTTATGCTGCCATAGAACTAAAGCTCAAAACCAGGATCAAATGTCATTTTATCTGAAGATTATCCTGCTGTTGTAAATTGCTCTAAATTAAATTAGATTTAGAAGTTAAACAAGAAGCAGAAGAAAACACTTAAGACAAAAACAAATACACCAGAAACATTCATAGAAATTGAATTCACTGATTCTTTTCAAATTTTCTCTCAGGATGCAAACATTTTCTGGACAGATATAAACCAACAAACAAAAAAGTCCAGCGGAATAAATTTATTTTGTACTTTAGTTGTAGAAATTCACCGTACATTTGAGGTCATCAACTTAACATGTTTAGTGGCCCAAAGCATGCATACCCATAAATTCTTTGTACAATTTAGAGATTTTTTTTCACAACAAAACCCCTGTAAATAAAAGCACATCAGTTGAGGCAGAAGTTTTGTGGCCGCAGCTGATTGGTGTGCTATCTCTGCGGCGATGGCAGTCGTACCTTGGCCTTATTTTAGTGGAGAAAGAAGAAACACTGGCAGCTTGCAGTCGTTTGCTCTCGACTTTTGTCTCTAAATTCATCAAAACAGAGATGGAAAAAAGGGAGTTGGCAAAGCTGAGGGGGAAGACGAGTGTTAGGTCACAGACAGAGAGGGAGAAGAGAGCAGACACACGCAACAAGGACAACATTTCCACAATGCAAGAAAGTCTCCACTTAAGTCTAAATATTTTTCTTACAGACAAACTTTCCCCCACTAATTTAAAGAAAAATATCTGAAGACTTGTAAACACTTGATCACATTGAACATTTGGTAAAGAGACATTTTTGCAGAGCATGAGGCGTGAAAGACGTGCATGGTTTAAAGTGTCACCACCTCGCTTTGGTACAGACAGAACTTGGCCATGATTTTATTTTAGTTTTTAAATACATAAGATTTTGGCAAAGACATCATGAGAAAGACCTGTTCCTAGTGGGCTAGGTAGTGGACATCAGATGTCGACAGAGGGACAGTGGTTAGTATAAACAGGCACTAAGTGGATCGACATACAGACAAGCCGACCAGCCTCTTTATTAAGCACAGACAGAATCAGACAAACAGTCCTTGTATCTCCAAAACATGATGCGTTTTACTCACTGAGGTTTTAAAATCACGCCTTTAATTGTGAAGACAACAGTACAAGAAGGCTGAATGGAGGTTCCACCGTCTCCCCTTTGAGGCTGCAAATAAATAAACCTGTACCCTGGACCAATGTGGCACAGTTGCACCACCCTGGCACCAGTTACCCTGTTTCATTAGCATATTAGATCCTCTGGATCTTTGAATGTAGGAAAAACTGAAGATGTTTGCAAATGACCAGCGATGTGTTGAGATCACGTGCAGCCAAGCAGAAGTACCAGTTGTCTTTTCTTTCATGCATGAACGACCTAACACGTGGTGCTACCTTTACATTTCCTTAGCAGCTAACCAGCAGGTTACTGAACTGGGCAGTCGAGTAAAAACAAAAAGTCTGAACACCAAAGTGATGTTTTCTAGATGAATCGTTGTCTGACAAATTGGTCCAAGATTTTTAATTTACAGTTCTATAAACCAGAGTACAGCAGGGCTTTGGGTTTTTTGCCTGGTAAACTAGACCCGGCCTTGTTTATCTCTCTGGGTCGAGGGTTAGTTGACCCCATTCAGCCTTGGCATGACATTCACACAGTACACTAGATAGTCCAAGGACCCAGAGCACCAGAGTTTGTGTGTCTGAGTACAGTGTCCCTCCATAAAGATGTTGGAGAACAAGTTCAGAGGCTGATATTGAAAACATTACAGTAAGTTTGTTCACAGAAAGTCAGAAATATAAAATTTATAAGGTGCGATTTTATGAACTGATCATAGATACTGTAAGACAAGCAATTTTGCATGGCACATTTATGTACAGTAAACATTGCCTCCACATTTTCTTCATTCCATAAGTGAAAACATTTACATGAGCTGTTCACTACTCGTGATACATGGCCTCTTATCTCAGAGGAATACAAAAGCTCACAGCAAGATAAAGTCAGATTACTATTAAATACTGAAAGACCCAGTAAAAGTATTATTTGCCATAGTGTTTTTACATTTAGAAAATCCCCTTTGGGATCAACAACTTGACTTCACACCCTGATTTACATATCCTTTACATTGTCATTCTGATGAGAACACTGACATTTGTGGAAATCAGGTTCCTTTGGTGGGGAAATTGAATCCCCACTGATATACAAAAGACATGTACATGCATGAAAGACAAGCAAAAGATACATTTTCCTCAGAGAAAATGTCCATCACATTAACTGAGTATTTGGATGGGACACGGTCCGTTTTGGTTTGGCATGGCTTGGCTGTGCACCAGTGTGATGACCGGCCAGTTAGATAACACAAGGCAGGACGTGGGGAGGAAGAGGGGAGATCAGAGAAGGGTAAAGATACAGATCCAAGCCCGTTCCTTGCACCGATCGGCTCAGGGAGAGTTTACTGCTGTAAGCAGCCAGGAAAGAGGGGGTAAGGATGAAAGAAGGGGGTTGATTCAGCGGCGGTGAGGTGCCTGTCCTACTGTATCGTCTGGCTGAGTCCGTGCCTGTTTGTCTGTCTGTCCTCACACTGTCGAAATCAATTTGCCCTCTGTGGAACTGTGGACAAAGAGAGGGAGAAGCTTCCAGGTGGGCTGGCTCAGGAGAAACAGCAGCAAACACAACCCGGACACACCGAGCGGCAGAAACCAAGTCTGTTCTCATGACAAACCAACTAAACACCCTATAAGCTTGACTCCAGATCTCTCAAAGTATGACGGGTGGTTTTAATCCACCTCATGAGGAGGAGGTAAAGCAGGGTAACCTTAACAGGGATTGGGTAAGTGCAGTTAGCAGGTGGAAGCACTATTAGAGCTGCATGGTGCATGGAGTGCATTAGGAGCAGCTGGTAGGTTAAAGCATGAAGAACAAAGAAACTGAACTTAAGCTTAACACAGAACTGAACCAATAACACACTTTAAAATGTCACCTATTTGTACTGTTTCAAAGAAAAGAAACCATCATTACTAACAGTCCTGTGTAGGATGAGATGACCTCTTCATAGCAGACCAAAGACAAAGAAAGCCTACTACCAATATGTATAACAATACATGATATTATCACTTGTGGTATCAAATCTAACAAAAAGCTAACAGAAAACAGCACAAAGAAACCAACATAAAACCAAACCTCACTGTGTTCTGCTGCTTGTGTGTTTGCGGTTCTGGAGTTAAGGCCATGTGTCATAAAACATCCCAATCCCTCAACTCTACGTCTTTAACCGTTTCAACATGGTTCCAGGTCAGTTCTCTTTAAATTCAGACAGGTCATTGTCTCAGAAAGTATCCCACCACCCCTCGCTGGCTTCCCGCCCACTTCCAGTTGAATTCAACAACACTGGAAGCACATTATCCAATTTCTCTACACATCTAATTTTGATTATATCTTGCTTGAACTGACTGAACTGGAACGAACCAGATTTTGGTCAATAGGAAGCAAAAATATTAACTGCAACAAGTGAAGTGGTTCTCACCTTGTGGAGAAGCGAGGCTCGTACTCTTCGACTCCTTGCTGTAAAGGAAATAAGAGTTTTAGTCACACAGTCTAGTGTGGATACTCATGACGCTGTTAGTGGGACATTGCAGTGACCAAAGCCACCAGCAGATGGCAGCAGAGGGGACATCAAGACTGATAAACAGTAGGGCTCTTAAATTTACTTGTAAATGTTAAATGATGTCTCTAAATAAAAGAAAGAGGAAAAACATCTTCTAATGATGGAACGAAAATGCTTATTAATACACAGTTGAGTTTATGATAACTTCTAACTTTCCGATCCAACCTCTCCAGTCTAGAAGTCCGACCTACAAAAATTAAAGGCACTAATCATCAGCACTGCTGCCTTCTCTCTCTCTTTTCTTTCTTTCAGTCAGCTGAAGCACTGCCCTCAGAGGCAGCCCGGCTGAGCTGTGCCACATTCTGCCCTCTGCATACAGCAATGTGTGAAGAAGAACAGATTTCTGTGTTTATATAAGCTAATGCAGCAGAGCATCCTCTGTGGCACCAGACTGCTGCTAATGTAAAAGACAGCTACTCCTGTACTGTATCCGAGGGAAGGCTACTGTACTGTACCTCCAAACTTTGTCAGACAAACGCACAGATCTCTGCCAGGTTTCGTGTGACACCTCAGCTCATGTGTGAACCCATGTGGGCAGATGCCAGTCTATGTGTGTGTACTTGTTTTGCAGGCCCCCTACCTGTGAGAAGCCTGGCACCGCCACGCTGTAGGGGCGTTGTGGTCTGCCATGCAGCGCAGCAGCACTCTGTGCCACTATATGGGCTTGAACGCCGTAATCAGGGACAGGGAGTGCCATGTCCTCTCTGTCTAGAAGGTTGTCAGCGCTACTGCTCTTCCCATGGTGGAGGCTGAAATCACACAGTTATGCAGAAAATGAGTAAATGGTAAACATGTTGCTCCCCATTGCAAACTCCCTCGGGGCCAATCAGGAACAAATATGTTGGAGGGTGTTTAAAGGGGAAAAGCTTTACAACCCACAAGCACTCAGGCCACTAAATGTTATTATCAATGCTCATTAAACAGCACATACTGTAATTAAGTTTAATCAAAATCCAGTTAGTTTAAAATAGATTTACTTTTTAAGGAAATCTCCCAGCACTTACCTGTGTACTCGAAGCTGCCTCATGGAGTCGCCCTCCGTGTCGGAGATCACCCTGGTGTAGGAGAAGGGGAACCAGCCACGCCTGGAGGAGGCGGCACAGATAATAACACAAACAACTAATGAGTAACTGTTTTAGGTTCACTGGAACTTGTGTTGGAAATTTGATTAAATCTGTAAGTGTCAAATAAAATAAAATTTTAATCCATGGATAATTGTTGTCTACTTTAAGTGCTTTTTACATAAATTGTAGAAACATTGGTACCAAATAACCGACTCCTGCCAATGGCCTTATTTTCCACAGAAGGTAAAAAAATGTAAAGTTAGGCTCAGCATTAGACAGATAAAAAAAAAAAAAAAATCACTATATGATGCTCAGAGAACAATCACATGTTCGTTGAATACATAAGTTGCACTCACATCCTTGTCTTCTCGTTCTCGCCGTAGTGCCACCCGTCACGGGCCTCAGGAACCAGCAGGGTGATCACGTCGCCCTCAGAGAAGCTGAGCAGAGTGCTGTTGTCACTGGCTGCATGGGAGAAAACAGCCTGGACACGAGTTCTCCCGTTTTTCTCCAGCCCTGCAGCCATGGAGCTGGACCGGGGCAGCGTACGGGTCTCCACTGGTAGGAGTAAAGGGAGGGAGAAGACGGAGAGTGTTGACTGGTGTCAAACACAAGCTCTCCCTTGAAATTATAAACTACTCATAATTTAATGAAACCCGTTTCTGTCCTACATCTGTTTTACTCAGAGTGTCTCATTTCTAATATCACATCCCCTGCTCCCACTGGCTTTGGCCTGTTTCTTATTGAGCTGGCAAAGGCTGTGTGTGACATCCAGGCTTAATTTTAGTGGGTTTTATCTTTAAGATGCAATTATACATTTTATCATTTGCTCTGGAAAAAAAAGCATAATGAATGTCAAGTTAAAGCTACATCAAGAGTTTTCTTGTTAATGTACACTAGGGTGCAGAGGGGCTCCACAGCAATCTGACAAACCCACAGCCCTGACGTATTACTGGCTAAAGTTGTTACAGGTAGCTAATGGTTGTCTTCTTTTTAAAACAAAAAAGCATTTATTTGGACAGTTGTTTGTCCCCTTGATAAACTGAAAACTGGTGTCAACTCCTCTTTTATTTCTGGCTTGGTCTGCACTAACTGGCTCTGGAATCTGGCTCTTTAGCTGCTCGATGTTCTTCTGTCTTCACAAACTAGTTTAACTTTGTCTTTCTGCTGCTTGGTGTTGTGCAGGCTGCCTTCAGGGGGTTTTAGCAGAGCTCACCTGCTGTGACTAGGACTGACCAAACAGTGCTCTAAAACCAACATCGCGAGCTAAAGGCTTTGCTCTGTAGCACAGCTGGATGATACTCCAAATAACACAGGAAATATCATCCAGCTGTGCTAACGCTGGATCAAATGTAGTCATTCGATTCAACGTTAGCGTTATTTTCCACAGTGACCAGTTAATAATCCCTTTTATCAACATCCTTTGACAAACTACAGATTTACCTCTATAGAATTTTAACCTGGGTTAAATCCCTAGAAAGGAAGTTAAATTTAATGCCCTGTTGGACATCAGTGCACAGCGTATGTCCTTACTCAGCGTGGTCTTGCTCTTGGCTGGGGCAGCTTTGCGCACAGGCAGGGTGTTTGAATAGACCTCCCCTCCATGCCGCTGGGTCTGCGGTGAGACCTTGCCCTGGGCCACCTTGCCCTCCATCCACTGCTGGTAGTCTTCTCCCCCGTGGGCGCCAGCCGTGCCGTTCATCACGGGCATCCCTCCATCCACAACCCCCATCAGCCTCTGCAAGGTTGATGACAGATAATTAAAGCACAAACTCACCGTAAGCTGTTACATAGCATTGTGCAGATCATTAATAATAATGAACAAAGTGCAGCGTGGATCTGGGTCAAGAAATACTGAATAATGAAGAGACTGCATTTGAGTGTATGTTGGTTTAAAGACAAACACATGGAGTCTGTAGTGAATATTTAGTGGGAACATAAAACGCTACTGATTCTGTAGCAGGCTCTTAAATAGAACCTTATACTGTGGCTGTCTTTCATGTAAGTTTTTTCGCCCACTAACTAAGCCTGCAGGAGGAGGAGGAGGGGGAAGGGGCAGGGGGGCGAAGAGCCCAAGGACGCGAGAACTTTAAGCCACTTTTGTGCAACAAGCTAATTAGCATGTCTCAAGGTTCCCATGATGCAGTAGCCACATCCTATGAAATGCTTAGGGCCTTATTGATAGGTCTCATTAGGCAGCACACACACATCTGTGTTTGTGTTTATATCTTCGTGGGGGCCAATACATGTTTTAGACTTTAGGGGTACTATGCGAACTGAGGACATTCAGGCTTCACTACCTGTTGGGGGGTTATGGGTACGTTTGAGAGACTATGTCAATGAGGGTGCTCACAAGTATGGATGTTCAATTGTGTGAGAATTCTGGAAAAAGATTTTTGAACAGTGACAGAAGATCAAGACACATAACACAAAGCCCAGTAACACACCAATTATCACAACTGCTGCTTCTATACACACACTTATCATATAGAGTGGTTGTAAACAGTGTAAGGTGCACAGATGTCAGGTTGACCACAGGGGGCGGGGGGAACCAACCTGCTGTGCCAGACCCCCGCTGGCCCTGAGGGCTGCCAGTTCTGGAGGCACTGGCAGGGGTTTAGCACCAGGGATGGGCTCAGAGATGGACATGCCGGGATGATGAGCACCGGGAGGCATGGTGCCTGCTACACTGCTCATCTGCTGGGCCAAAAACATGGCACGATCTGGCAGTTTGGTGGACTCGGCACATGCCTGTTGCCACATTGGGAGCTTCTGAGATAAAAGCTCCTTCCCCTGTTGGAAAAAAGTGAGAGACAAATTGAGATCAACATGGAGTTAATCATGTGATTATTGGCACTCAAACCTGACAATCTGCTAGCAAGAAAAAAAAGAACTGAAAATATACTGCACTTAATCTCTAAACACAATGCTGCTTTTGTAAAGTCTCCCCACGGACATCAACATGGAGACACATTGTTCACATAAGCAGAGGTTTACTGGTCAGTAGGGCAACAGGTGAAAGGGAGAAACACAGAAAAAGCAGAATGTGAAGGGGAAACAGATATTGCATGAAGTCTCATTTCAGAAGCTCCCAGTCGGTAATCGAAGGGCTGAATTCCATTCACTCCATTCATTATACAACAGGGCAGTTACATAAAGATACCTTTCATTTGCACACTGTGAAGAAGTGACGGAGTTCTGAATGCATGAATATTGAAGGCACTGAGGAGGATCTGCTGTCCAAACAGTTTGAACTCCACCAGGCTGGTGTGGAGGATAAACTGTGTGGTTCCAAGACTGTCTGGCCCTGCTGAGTGTGTGTGGGCTGTAGCGTCAGGTGTCAGGGTGTGGGCGGGGTGACCAAATCAATTAACACTTACTCAAATGTAAAAGTACAGCAAAAACAAACTCGCACTAACAGAGTTAGCAGCATTGTGTTACTGGGCGTCTGAAACTGCCTTTTGTTCAACAAGTTATAGAAGCTGTCAGGTTTATTATGATTCAACAATTCTTGATTTTCATACAAAGCTGTGACTGTTAATGTCCACACAGAAAAAAACCATTGAATTACAAATTAATTTATGTGACCAAACTTCCCCTTGTTCCAGTGAATACCTACTATAAAGGAACTGGGGTGAATGGGACTGCTTTCATATATTTCCACTGTGTGTGTGTGCCCCAGTGCTTCTTGCTGCTAGTGGAGATGAGTCACTATGACCTCAGTCGGTCCTTTCCAACAGTGAGAGTGTAGGCGGTCAGTGCCTTTACCGGTGTGATGATAAAATCAACAAGCAGATGGTGGCTCGTTCTGCTTTATTCTTACCTCCAAGCTCAGCAACCACAGAACAGCAAAACCGCTCTCACAGAAACCAAGTTTGTGGAGATTTGCTGATTTGTCTTTCGGCAGAGACTCTGAATTGTGGTCATCTCACTTATGTTACCGCTCCTCACATAACCCAGAAGTTGTTCCTGTCCATCATTTGTATGGATGTCCCAAAGGTCTTACTCCTGCTGGAGGAGCCATGAGTGAGGACACACAAGCATGTCCTTCATGGGAGTCTTTTATGGACCAACACAGTTCTTGATCAGAAACCAGTTAGTGAGTGGACACTTCAGATGAAGGATTGGAGGAAAGGATGCATCATGTCTCTAAAATGTGATCCCTTGATTCCTCTTTCCTTGCATCTTAAGGGGGCTGGACTAAGATGCCAGTAAGGGAAACATGAATGCTGTTAAGAGAATTGGGATGTAACAGGAGGTGGTCAGTGTCGGTACTTCAACTCTCAAAGCAACCACCTAAGGGCCTAGTGACAACCTAGCAACCTGCCTGAACATCAAGGTGGTGAGCAGCCACCTTATAATACCAAACAAACATCTAGCACCACCCTAGCAAAAATCTAGTCCAAGTATGTTTTTCTCAGGCACCAAGAACTGTTATTTTATAACTTAGTCTTGTGTAGCCAACTTCTGGGCTGGAGTCATATTCTTTGTATTTTTGAAATACTTGACAATAAAGTTTATACTTATGCTCTGCAATGATTGAGTCATTGTCTATTAATCTGTCGTCTTTTATTATTAAATACATTTTTTGACTTGTTAATGCTATAATTTCCCAGCCCAAGAAGATGTGTTCATTCTGCAAATTATGGAGCCAGTCAGTGACATAGAGCTGCAGCCATGAGTCAGTTCACTGCTAGAAAATTAACCGGCAACTATTTAGAATCAACAGTCACCAACATGTTCTGGTTCCACCTTCTTTAATGTGAGGAGCTGATGCTTTTCTTTGTCAGACATGAGAATCAGATGAGTCTCTGTGGGTCTGCTGGTTGGACACAACAAGACGTGTGGAGACAACACCTTTGGCTCTGGAGAGTCACAGTGGGACTTTTTCCCAGTGTCTGACATTCTGGGGATAAACTGATCAATCAGATCATTGGGACAGTGATCAGTGACCCTGCTGGTTGGGTTTCCACTCAGTTATTCAGGCCCCCCCTCATCTGAACTAATTCAGTCTTTTCCGCTGGTGATGCATCATCACATCAGCAGTTTGTGTTCTGTGCTTCCTCCCTCTATCAATCACTCATTCAGACACTTTCACACCCACACACACTGAGTCTGAACCAAGTGTTCTTACAGAAGTAGGTCATACTCTCTCTTCTGCTGCCTCCCTTCATCCTCCAGCTCACATTTCCCCAGTGTGAGAGAGTGAGAGACACTAAAACTCCTGACTGGCTGCAATGATGCATGTGAGAAGTCAAGACACAACACAGTGCTTTGGTTCATGTGTTGTATGAATGTCAAGGGTCGCACTGTTTGGGAAATAAAGATGTGCTGTCTTCGGCCTCAATGTGTATAAATTATCTGAGCCAGTTTACAATACTGAAGTATTGGGCCATTTAGATTTGTAATTCACTTGCAGTGAGGTTTAGTGTATGCAGGTAACTTTACATTTTGCAGTTGCACAGTTTCAATGAAGTTGCAGCTCATCTAATCATCTTTAATGAAGAACATTTTAAAGTGCAAGCTCCTAACTTTCAAAGCTTAAAATCTAGATATTATTTCTAAGAATCATCTGATAAGCAATGATCTGGTGATTTGGTGAAAAGTTGTTCAAACTTGGCTGAATATGGTATTTATTAGTAGCATAAACATGCTTAGCTAGGCCTCAAAATAGAATGTGGATGAACCTGCTGCACACTGATTTTAATGTGGGAAATCAACAAATCAGGACTTGCTGGATACCTTCCGAGTGAGGTGAGCAGATAGATATTATATTGCCATGACACATCTGGACACTAGGAGGTGAACAGGCAGAGGAAGCTCAGTGGGTCGTGCTCACCTTGCTGTGGTAGGCGCTGCCACTCTTGGCCAAGGCACACTGACGGTCCACCAGGAAGCAGTACCTCCTCCGCTCCTCAGACAGAGCGTTCTTGTAGCCCTCAGCGATGTAGCTGTCCATTTCGGTCTGCTTGGCGCTGATGGCCTCCACATACTGGAGAAAGCAAGGGAAAGGACGCCATGACATTACCTCACTGCCATGACTGAGGTTAAAAGTATAATTCCTGAGCATTAATGAGCCAAAATGTTGTCAAAGCAATAGAATTTAAACGGAGGAGAATTGAGATTAGTTTGGGATTCTCAAACTGACATTTAAAACACAACAACATAAACAACTCTGAGCCCTGTGAGCACCACAACCTAAATTACATTGTGCTAATTGGTGAATAAGACATTTAACAACTGAAACTCTGAAAGACTTCAGAAGATGACGAACCACATTTTGATGGATTCTGGTGAACGGACTAAGCCATACATCACTCTGCATAAACATGACATATAGAGGCTTCATGTAGTGCCTTAAAAACCACAATTGCTATTCATTTGGAAAATGTCACAGCACATCAGGCCTGAAAACCCAGGAATGAAAGGAAAAGAACTCAGCTGCTCAGACTGTCTGATCATACATGTCCATTATGTGATAATGGTGATTGTATTTCCTGTACATTAGTCAAAGTGCCTTTCCAATTCAAACTCGTTCACCCTTCAGCTGTATCTGCCTCTTAAACCCACTCATTCTCCATTTGTTATAGCGTACAGGACCCACTTTCCCACATCAAGCCTCACTTTGATGCACACAAAAGGTAGTGAACCCAACTTTGTTCCTGGGTTTCCTTATATAACTGAATGCATTTGAAGATCCACAGTGTCCAATAATGTGAAACAGCTTTCTCCATGTGGCAGACAGCACTGGGCTGAGGTGTTGATGACCAAGGAGCGAGTCAGCAGCCCACGCACCGCCATCCAGGACTGGCTGCTCAAACTAACACCAGTTCTGCTTGAGGCTAAAGGCTGGATGTAAAGAAAAAAACAAACAAACAAACTGGTGGCAACAAGATATGATTTTAAATGAGGGACTTAAGTTAAATAACACTGTGCTATAATTCCCCTCATGCATCAAACAACACCAGACATGCTAATTAGGTCATTAAGCTCAATCATGCATTATTAATACATTTCTGCCTCAACATATTTACCATTTATTGTAAAGAATAAATGACACGGACAGCCATTCTTAACTTTTCTAACCATATAAATCAAATATTTTCACAAACAAAATATAGCAGATAGAACATCAGTATTGTTTGTTTTTAAACAGATAACTGCAGGTTGACCAGTTTCAGTGCTGTGTTTAAACATCTTGAATTAAAAGCATTAAAAATATACAAATATTAACCAACTTAGATGTAGGTTAGGTCCTCAAATTTAAAGTTAGTCTAATGTCTTCTCAGCACAGAGCGTCTAGTGAGACTCAAAGTGACACCATAAACCACCCCTAACCATTCTCTGTTTCCTAACAACAACATGAACTACGGATGCCTAGTTCGGACAAACTGTACAGTCTGAAGCGAGCGTTAGCTTATTAACAGTAAATGTGTCGGTCCAGTAGAACGCTGTTGGTGCTGATGTGACACAAAGCTCCAGTTAGTCCCAAATTAAAATTATATTAATTCACAGGTAAATTCGTGACCATGCTAGGTGGCTAATGCTACCAAAACAACCAGGTTAGCTTTAGATGCCAACACATCCAGAAGGAAGAGCCCCACCAGTCCAGTCCAAGTCCTCTGGCTGCTTTTAACCCTCTCCATGTCAAACAGCCAAACCCATGTTAACCCTGGTTGTTGCTCTTTCTTTGTCCCACTCTCTCTGTGCAAAAGATGCCACCTCTTCACTCGGGCAGCCGCTGGTTCAGGCTTCCAGATAGAGACACAGTTCATCAGGGGTCAACCAGTAAACCAAATGATGAAACTACTTTATCCATTTACATTTTAATTAATCTCACAGGGTAAAGACAAACGACCTAGTTTGGCTCTTCATGTTAAATCAAACTAAACTCAATTTCCTCACTAGCTGAGGAAAACAAAAATGTTTCTCAAGTTGAGAAAAGACAGAAGACTTTCTATAAACCTTATCTAACTCCACCTCCCTCTTGGCCTCTTTGGGCAGGCTGAGATGTTTAGTGGTTTTCAGGAAGACACACACCCTGTTCCAGTGATTGACTGTCTCTGTGACTGGTAGTCGCATCTCTTTAATGAGCCTATTAGCCTAGGATTGACAGGGAAGGCGAGACAACGTTGCAGACACCCAGCAATTCATCTAATCCTTTCACCCTTCTGTACAGGCTGAATACAGTGAGAGGGGGAGAAAAAAACAAAGCCTCATATTTGTGTTGAATACAGGGTGGAGCAGAGGCATGACTGGTCCTCATTTCCAAAAAATGGCTCTTATGTTATGTGACATATAGTTCAGCCTGGGAAAATCAAAAGAACAGGAAGAATATTTAGACTGTTTCTCAAGTAGGTGTCTCTGGTAGGAAACACTGGTGATGCATCACTGTGCCACATGGGGGAGCCATAGAGTCACACCTCACTTTACAGACTTCTGGTAGGAGCACTGAATCAAAACATAACTTTATATAAAATCTTCTGCCTGAATATGGTCATTTAGCAGGAAAAGAATTTCATGGAACTGAACAAAGTCCTTCATGTGGGCGTACGGTGAATTAACATGCGCTGATCACCCACAGTGAAATATTAAATGGTGACAATCCGAGGTGGCAGCAGCAGAGGAGGATGAAGGCCGTGCATGAATCACACAAACAGTGGCAAAGCGTTCAGGCAACCTCGATTATCAGATCCAGACTGACATGTTGAGGTCAGGGTGAACAGAAGGGACCTGTCAATCACCAGAGTGACAGGCGACACGAAGGAGAAGGACTCGGACAGTGCAGTTTGTTTCTAGTCCCTGTCAGGTGAATTCCTGAAGAATCAGGTGAATTCGGAGGAAACAAAAACAACCAGAAACTGTCAAACCTGTTTCACTGTGTTCAGGTGAGGTGCACTTCTAATACCACTACTGATAGCATCACTTGATCTGTGAAATGTTTTGTCGATTAATATTCAATAAAATATAAAGAAAATTCTGAAAAATGCTTATTGTGTCCGAAGTGGCAACAACCAGTCTAACACCCAAAAACGTTGTATTAACAGTGATGTAAAGATGAAAAAAGAGGATTTGAGAATCTGGAAATAGTCTTCTCTGATCTCATCCCATTAAAGATATGTGAGAAGCCAGAAAATCAAAGTCAGCAGGTGGAAAGTGCTTCTGCATAGAGGTTTCACCAAAGGCAGGCAATTCTCTGTTTGATCAGTGTTACTACTCTGGCCTGTTGGGGCGCAATTAAGGGATTAAGGGTCATCGGTTGTAGCATTAGTTTCCATGGAGAAACCTCTCCAGAAGAGGTTTCCACAGGCCTGAAGCTTTTCTTTATGAAAAGAGAAGATGAAGCACAGTCACAGAGATCTCAGCATGTTCTACTATAACAAGACACGAGAACACAAAATGGTTTCCTTCTACTCAAACCCTCTGAATCCTGACATTTAAATGGTGGTTACCATTTCTTCTCATCCCTTAACATGATACGGTGACTACAGGTTTCATGTCTACGAGTTGATCATGGAGTGATTCATACATTCTTAGAGTAAAAAACAAAATTTTGTGTAGCTGAATTTAGTTTTCTTATTTTCTGCTTCAGGTATCATACCAGGAGCTTGGGAACGTTTGTCAGTGTCCGACCCCCAAGGTGGGAACCACGGGGTTAAATTATTAATTATTCAAAGTTGTTGGTGATCAGTAATCTGCCACACAACCAACTGCTTCATCAATTGTTACACAACACAATGCAGTGCAGTGGGAGGGAGGACCCCTCACACTACCCCCTCAGTAACAAATCCACCAGGTGACTGAGCAGACAGCAGCTCGGCGCTTTATGGCCCCTGAGGGCGACTTCCCATTGCCTATAGTTTTAATATCGACAGTAATCATGAGCAGCAAATGGTGACGACTTTAATCCGTGTTGTTTTTCTTGCTGCTCCAAAGGGCTCTGGTGAACAGCAGCAGAGCTTAATTAACAGTTGGACAGTGAAGGGATGAAGACAGGACGATCCTTTAGTGAAGCACACAGCCTCATTCAGTTGAAGCAAGTGATGCAACTCACATCCACAAAAGGTGCACGTTCAGGATTTGCACAAACATATTGTGTGCCATAAGCGCCCAGACATACATTCGCTATACTGTATGTTCAAATCTGCTGCTCAGCGCAGGCCGCCGGTGTC